TCGGTTGTTAAATGGGAAACCCTCCGGAGGGAGCTGAGTCATTAAGTTGTCTCAACTTCGGGGTGGCACAAAGCGCCGTTCGTGCTTGTGTGGTGGAGGTGAGGGGCTCGCATCCCAACAGGGCTCTGGGCGTTTGTGTTGCCAGCAAAGTGCTCTTGGAGTTGAGTGAAATAACACCGTGTGCCAGGGTGTGTCTGTGAGGCTAAACACATGTTTTGTGGAGATATCCACAAAGTTTAGGGATGAAGACAGCCTGCTAGTGGGGCACCCCTACCATCCCTCTGCCCAGTGTTCCCAGGAGACAAATTTAAGTCTCATGAAATCCTGGATTTGAAAGTTGGACAGTTGGTGTGCTGTTCTATATTGAATATATAAACATTTCTGAAGAATGCTGCAAATACAGCATTGTTCAGGCAGGAAATTGTGCATTTCTGAAAAACTTTCACTCACTTTACAGATTTGATGAAAAGGAGAATGTATCGAACTGCATCCAGCTGAAGACTTCAGTTATTAAAGGTATCAAGAATCAACTGATAGACCAGTTTCCTGTTATTGAACCATGGCTAAACCAAATCATGCCAAAGAAAGACCCAGTTAAAATCGTAAGATGGTAAGTTTCTTCTCTCTTGAACTTTGCTTTTAAGGTGCTTCCTTTATGTGTTGACTTTGTAGAGTAGATGAACCTGCTGTTTTTGAAAGGCACCTATCATATCTTAATAGCTAATAGTCCAAGTTATGGCCAAACCAGAAAGTTTACATGTGCTCATCATGCTCTTGAAGGCACTTGCTGTTGTGGGATGCTTGAAGAACATAAAACTGCTGCCTAGTAGTGAACGTGCAGTGTGTTCAGGGACTGCCCAAGGATTAGCCTGTTGTTGAAGGGAAACATTCAGCTTTATGGGTATGGAAGTTCAGACTTGTTTGGATACCTTCCAGTAACATTTTTTACAATTTTTGGGCTTCCATATATTATCTCAGCTATTTAATTTTTTTCTAGATAAAGGGTTAGTACGTTTTTGCTGACCCTTTCTCCTTATCCGCCCCTTACACTGCATTCCAAAACTCCAAAGAAATGCAATTTGTGCATTTTGTCTGTAGTTTTTTTTTTTAAAGGGGAAGGAAGTGAGCAGGAGACCACTGTTGAAGAATAAGCTGTGCAAAAAGATAATATTTTTATTTTTATATTTTCTTGCTAATTGACTGTCTTAATTCTCAGGTGCCAAGATAGACCAGACTCTGTGAAGTGAAATATTTCATTTAAACTGTAGAAGGATTTAAGTAGCTATTGGAATAATTGTTTTTTAATCTTGCAGTCATGAACATATAGAAATCCTCACTGTGAATGGGGAGTTGCTGTTCTTCAGGCAAAGAGAAGGGATTTTTTACCCCACGCTAAGGTTGCTTCACAAATGTAAGTTTTCTGAGGGTGGAAGTGCTGGGAAGAGAAGGATGAAAAAAATATTTTGTGATCTGTAGTGGGTTTAAGGATGTAATGTGTACTTGCCTCCTGTAGGAACTTAGGCTGCATGCTTTTTACTTTTTACAATTTACTGTTGCATTATTTTTCTTGCTGTTCTGCTTGATTGTGTTACTCTGATTTGAATCCCAAAAAATGTTATTCAGTCAAATCTCAGTGCTGGAAATACTTCAGGAGGGTGCCTGCACTTGAAGGATGGCTTGGAGAGCTGACAGCTTTCATGAATTTTGTCCATCTTTGCCTGTTTTGTCCTCTTAACATTAAATTGTTTCTCTTTCATATTAGGTTAATTTGTAAGAGTACATTTGAGGGATTTGGGATCTCTTTTTTTTAAGGCCTCTGAGTATCTGAGCACTTGAGAGATTAATTTCCTTGTGGGAACTTGTTAAAATTGTTACTCAGTATGTGGGTCTGTGAATGTGCAGGAGGCATAGGCCTCTAGTGCTGGGTTACCTCTGATTCTCAGGTAAAAGATGTGTCCTTTTGGGACAGCACTTGTGTCCTTTTGGGACAGCAGTTGTGTCCTTTTTGGACAGTACAGCCCAGCAGGAGCCCTGGTGATTGTCAGACTTCCTGCCCTCACAGCACACTGTGTATCTAATTGCCCCCTCTAAAGTGACTTGGTAATGAGTTATTCCTGTTGTCATCTTCCTGTATTAACTGTAATGCTGTATCTTTCCCCTCCCAGACCCATTTATTCTGCCACATCAGCAGGTTGATAAAGGCGCCATTAAATTTGTCCTAAGTGGAGCCAATATAATGTGCCCTGGCCTGACGTCTCCTGGAGCAAAGCTTTACCCTGCTGCTGTCGATACTGTCGTTGTATCCTTCTCTGAGTTACTGCCTGCTGGGAGACCAGTTAAATTCCGGTCTTGTATTCTCAGCTGATCATAATCTGGATTACTTTGGATTTTAATAGGATTTCAGGAAATAACTAGCAACCAGAAAAGAGCTGCAGAGGTTTAGATGTTATTTGGCAAGGTTGCATTGTTCTTATTTTTTTACTTACTGTGATGTTCCTGCTGTACTGCTGGGTGGGCTGCTGTTCCATTAATCTCCTTGGTAAGTGGAGCTCCTTGGTGATTTTATGCAGAACTGTAAAAGTAGATGAGGTGCAGTGTAATTTGTCCCCTGCCTCCATAGTCAATCTTTTATTCCCTTCAGTTAAGGAAGAATTCTTTCCTGTTCCTATGGAACTTGGAAAGATGTGAAGGATCAGCTTTACTGTAGTCAGGACTTGCTCTCTGTGTCTAATGAAGTTAGCAAGTGTAAAATGAGGAAAGTGCTAATTCACTCCTCATTATATTACTGAGAAAGGAAACCCTGAGCAAATACAGCATTAATAACACCATGCTGTGCTGCTTGTGTTGTTAGATAGATGCTGTAGGAAAAGATCAGCTGTTGGCACCATGTGTTGCTAGACTTTGAAAAAGACACATCTGATTTCAGTACTTCTGTTTTTTTAAATTTGTGTCCCAGTTCTTCTGTGCCTTGGAATCTGAAATGGCCCCACAAACATGTGCCATTTTGTTCCAGAAAGGAGAGACTGTCATCTCTGTGATAGGCACAAAGGAAGACATGGAGTGTGGTGCTGGGAGGTTTTTTTTTTCTGTAATTGCTGTTCCAAGTTCATAAATACATGCTTTGTTCTACACACTGTGATTCAGTTGTTAAATGCAGTGCATTGTTTTGTTTATCTTTAAGAGCTGCAGCCTTAGAATTACTAAAAGGGTAAAAGTTCAACGTGGGCTTTTGAAAGTGTTTTGGAAGTAATTTCTTCATATTGCTTTTCCTTTTCTGAAATAGTTTAAAAAGAAATCTGTTTTCCTTAGCAGTAATTTGTAGGCAATAATGGCAGAGGGAAAACAACATGCATTATGTGTGGGAGTAATGAAGATGTCAGCTGAGGACATGTAAGTGTTTTAAAAATTGAAATATAACCTGTCCCATGTCATTATTCTTAATGTTAGTTTGCAATATAAGCACCACTGTCAAGGTTACTGCATCACTGTTGCAGCACATGCTGTTCAAGTACAGAGTTTTTTAAGATTTTGTTTTGGTGATTGGAGAGAAGAGTAGGCAGGGAATGTCTTCTGTACTTATTTGGAATCAAATTTCATGTGAATATGAATTTTAAGGTGCACAGCATTAGTATTACTGCTGAATGTTAGTATTTCTAGAGCTCTGATCATACTTTGTCAAAGATCTTGTTGAACAAAGAAATATTTGTATCAAGTGCCTGAGCTGGGCAAGAGATGCAGTTTGGATTTGAGAGGATTGAAAATGTTGAAGTGATTTTTGTGTGCAGGGACAGGGAGACTGAAGTCATGCTGGTGTTTGGCTGCCTGTCTGGGCTTTCCTCTGTGGCCTGCCCTGTACCCACACGCAGCATTCCTGCTTGATGTGCTGACTAGCTTATCTGAGCTTTTTGTGAAATGTTGAGGTCTGTTCAGGGGATAAACTGAAAATTATTTGAGAAGGAAAAGGGATAGAAAATGGAAATGGGTGCTAGTTGTTCTTGGCTTTCACATAGTGCAATATTTTAAGTAGCTAAATCACCTTGTCATTTTAAGTTCTGTAAGGTCTTGCAGCAGGATGTGAGGGGCACCCAGCGGGTTTGGGCTGGTTGGTCCCAGCCCTGTGTGCCATTTGTGGCAGTGAGGAAGCTGATTTTGATGACAACAAGTCACTCTCTTCTGTGGGGATAATGCTCAGCAGGATCATCCCCTGTGCTGGGTGACTCTGCAGTCCCAAGTCATAGTGGTGGCAGCACAAGGGAGAGAGGGAATGTGTAACAGAGGACAGGGATAGAGTGGGACTGGAGCAACCTGGACTTGGACCTGCTGTAGCTGTTGAGAAATTATATCTCTCAGGATTCTTTGTAGTGCTTCAAAATACTCTAAGAGTAAGCAGAAAGAAAAGCTACTGAAGTGTCCCAGCCCTCAGTGTGCAGTGATATGCTGTGAGCATTGCAAGCCGAGGTTATGTGTTCCTAACCCTAATTTAAATTCAGCAACCTTGCAGCTGAATATCCTGTTCCTGTGAGAATTATGATGAACTGGAGAGGAAAACAAAGTGATACTGATCTCTGTAGGCTGTTGGCTGGTTTTTTGTGTTACATTGGTTAAACCAGAAAATTGTGGAACAGTGTGATTGCGGTCTCTCGGTGTGATTACGATAATTAATGTGTTAATTCTGGGCTAGCAGCATTTTCCTTCCTGATTACTTTTGGACAAGCTGTGTAAGTAATAGAACACTTGGTGTAAATACAGTAAATTATATTCTCCAGGGGAATGAAACTTGTTCTCACTCCTAGAATGATGAGATTTGTCTTGTTTATTGTGACAAAACTAGATTTTTTTTTTTTTTTGGTGGAATAATGTACTGGAAAAATGCTAAACACAAATTCAATGCAGACACACAGACTAAAAATTTTTAAAACATGACATGACTGAAAAGATACAGAGTCAATACTATGGAGGATGGTATGTTTGTAACATGCTGCAAGTCCTTGGCACATAAATTTAGTATTTTTAATTCTTTCTTAAGTGGGTAGATGACCTGCAACCAGCAGCAAGGCAACTCACCTGTGTTTGATTGTGTTGGTGGCACACCTGGAACCAGAACTTGTCAAATTTCACATTCCTGTCATGTTGTACCACCTCCTGTGCTGGGAGGGGGAGACTCAACTGCTGTGCTACTTTGGTAGAGAAATGCTAAAATTAAAGAAAGTGGCAGAAGTCTGAAGAACTGTCTCCCACAAAGAAATAGCAAAAATACTGTGGAAGGCTGTTGACAAAATGTGGAAGGCAAATATTGTCCTCTTATCAGTCAGCAATGTGGGCAAATGTAATAACAAATATTGTTTCTTGTCCACCTGCAGTTGAAGATAATGATTTTGTGATTATTAGCTTTTCCCCTTCCAGCTTACAAATGCTGCATTTTCTACTTTAAATATTATATTTTATACTGCTCTAATATTTCACCTATCTAATACTTTTGTACCTTTTTCCTCCTTCCACAGTGAGAAGGTCAACAAAGGGATTGGTATTGAAAATATCCACTATTTAAATGATGGCCTTTGGCATATGAAGACATACAAATGAAACAAAAGGAACTGTTACTCCAAAGGAATGCACTTAGATTAAATGTGGACTGCTTTGTAATTCCTTGTTTTTAATGTGACTGAATGTACAAATTATTTTGTTCTGTGGCTATGCTAAATAAATCACGTGAATGCAAAAGTACTGTTAGGCTACAATAGTTTTCTAGATTTCTTTTTATTACAGTTATTTTGTTCTGTCTTAAACCTAAGTCTTCAGTGACTGAAGATACCTGGTGGAAAGATTCTGCATGGACTGTGAGTAGACTATTTCAAACAGAAAGGAGGAAAAAGCCAAGAAATGTTTACATTTTTGTGCTCTTCTAAAAGAATAATATAAAGTGTATGTGAAATATAAATACAGTTTTTTAAAACCTCTGAAACATTTCAGATTTTTTCTTCTGATTAACATCTTGTTAGTCTACGTGTTTCTGGAATGTGGAGAAATCATTTTTTTTTGACATTATTTTTTAACTTATTAACAGCATTAACTTCATTTTACTTAAGGATTTTCTCTTTTTTAATATGCATTTATCTGTATAGGATTTATGAATTTAGACTGATATGTGGACTAGAAACTCTTCTATGCTGGTTCATATCTGAAGACTATAGCTATGTTCAGATTTCTACCTGCCAACACTTTGAGATTGCTCTCTTTGTAGTGGAGTTTATAGTAGTGGTGGGCAGGCTCCAAAGGGAGCGTGTGCCACCCCGGTGCCTGACGCTCTCTACTCCCTGTTTGCTGCCTTATTTTAGGAGCAGAAGCAAAATCACTGTTAGATAAAGGCATGATAGGAAACCATGGTTATCAGTGTAGCCAGGAGCAGCTTCTTCAGGTGGAACTTCAAGAGATCTCAGCTTGTGCACACTGCCACACGTACCTGCAGCTAGGGAATGGGTTCAGGAGCACTGTGTGTTTGTCTGGATAACCCAACCCTTTGGTCAGCAACTGCAGACCCAAAGCTATGCCTATGGAAAAATGGAATCATGTAATAAACTAAGGAAACCTTAAGGTCTACCACTCGTAACTGTCTCTGGGAGCATTTGTTAATATTTCAAGTCTCTATTCTAACACATGCACTGTGCAATGGCAGAATGTAATTTTGTGTGCCCGTGCCTTGTCTCGGTGCTGTTCTGCATGTTTGGTTTCCCCACCCTGGGACCTTCACAGAAGAGAGTGGCCAAGGAGTTCTCCATCTGATTCTAAAGCCAAATTAAAATGTGGGAGATGAAATATACTACCTAGTATGTGCTACTTTAAAATTTCTCCTGTAAGATTGTTTACGAGACTGTACTTCTGAAAATGGCAGGGTAAATCTGAAACTATCGATGTAGGAAGACAAAATTTAAGCAGTGTAGCAGAAGTTTCATCAAACCTCAGAACTTCAGAATGCTGATGGACATTTTTATGCATCTTAAAGGTCCCACTATAAATGTACTAATTCCTGGTTAGTGCTGTGTGAAATCAATTTGTGCTTCACTGTTTGTTTTTTTTTCCGTGTAAAACAAGCTAGCCTTGTGTTCTGTGGCTTTTTCCCTTTGCATTGTCTCCTCCTGTTGTTTTACAGTACCTCTCAAATCTGTGACAAATGAGATTTATTCTCATTTGAATTGTTCACTGCCATCCTTTCTCCTATGACTGCTGTTGCTATGGGGGGGTCAGAACTGTCTTTAATATCAGAAACACTGAAATCAAAATTTTACTTTCTTCATCTGGTTGTGTCAAAGTATTCCCAACAGTGGGTCTAACCTTTATAAATTATTCTGTAAGAAGATACAAGTCAAATCAGGCTTAAATTGTTTATCAGTTTAGCAAAACATCAAAAATACAGGTTTTATATAAGTTTTAGCAGCAATCATGGACATTTGTCTTGCTCTTTCAGCTGAGCTCTGACAGGACGAGAAGGTGCATCTTGCCTCACCTTTTACACATTCTGAAACAGCTGAGCTGTGGGAGCTTGTCAGGGGGTCTCAGCAGTTGTCTTACCTTTCTTGTCAAAAAGGAAGGACCTGATGCTTAAAACAAAAAAAACAAGATGTGGATATTCTCAACAATTTGAAGCAGCTGTTTCACTTTCCCACCTGCCCCCTTGCAGCTCAGGGTAGGGTGTCACAAACGGTCTGTTAAAGGTGAGATAACACCATCTTCTCCAGTGTTTTATGAATATTGTAGTACCAACAAGGCCTGTGATAGTCCCAGATGTAGCAGATAGATGTAGCACCTTCCTTAAGTCTTGAAACACCTACTTCAGGTCAGTGAATTCTAAATGGAGTGAATACTGAAGTGCTGTTTATTTGCACATGCTGTGAGGGGAAGGGAGTGTGACCCAGTAACTTGAGCCTCAGTTATAAAAAAAAAAACAAATCCCAAACACCAAAAAAACCAAACCAAACAACCACCACCCCTGTGCCCTCCTCCCACCCCCCCCAAAAAACCCCCAACCCAAAAACCAAACCCCAAAACTGTAACAACAAACCCAAACCCCATCACCTCCCCACCCACCCCAGTATGGGGGAGTTCTGCAGGTTGTTTTGTTGTGTTACCTGTGTAACATAAAATTCCAAGGGTGGGAGTGCAAGCACGTGCTGTTCTTTCTGCATCTTCATGTTAAAAGCCTCTGTAAATGTATCTACACTACATTTTAACTGACAATTAACCATCTACTTCCTTGTAAACACTATTAGCACCACTAACATGAGTGGAAATAACACCAAACCTTTATTCTAATACACTTATAGGTGGAGTGAAGTTTTAAACGAGCAATTACTCCTGTGCAAACAGGCTCCCTGACCACATTAATACTTACTCAAATACAGTTATCTCTTTCTTTTGTCTGCTTAGAAACAGCAGTCCAAAGGGCACTTGATATGATTATGCTGCAACTTCCTAAAGGATTTCTTGCCACCTTGCTTCCTGATAATTCCTTACTGCATTAGGAGGCTGTACATAAAGCAGCAACTGATAAAACAGTGTAGCTCAAGCTATTGTGTAGTTGAGAGTAAAAGAAACATCTTAAAGTTAGTCTTTGAGACTGAATCTGTAGTCAGTTTTATTGGTATATTTTAGAAAGATAAAAAGACATTCTAGAAATGCCTGGAAGAACTGAGAGAATCAAAGTCTTGCAAAAATATATTTGTAAGAGTAGACTAAACTTCATTTGAATTTTCATTAATAAATATTTACATGTACAAACCCCCCCTATAAACTTAATTCCCTTTCATTATAAACATTAACAACTTCTCTTTATCATTTCACTCTGGCTCTGTCAAAAGCCAGAAGCATTTTTGTATAAAAGATTTAGAAAAAAAAAATTTCTCCTTCCACTTTTGAAGTTGACCTTCCCCAACCCTCAGTGTGCAAAAACAACCTGTACAGCAGTACCAGCACGTGTCGGTACCAACGAGTGTCTCGAGGTGAGCCGACTCCACCCCTCCCCTGGTGGCACCTCAGTCGTTGTCGGAGCCCTCCGGGGGCAGGAACACGAGGGCATCGCTGTAGGTGTGTCCGTAGGGCCGCAGCCTGTACACCCCGTACATCATCACGTGCATGTGGTTGGGGCTCAGCCCGCTGAAGGTGATGGCCATGTCGGAGCAGCAGCCGTCCACCACCTGCTGCGGGTGGGTGCCCATGGCCTCCTTGATGAGGGCGCCCACGGATTTGGTGTTGAAGACGTCCTTTCCTTCCGAATCCTCCGCGTTCTCAGCGAACACCCCCGTGTACTTCAGGCAGATGGCCAGCTGCTTGTCCTCGGCGAGTTTCCAGATCATACCTCCCTGCTCCGGACACTTGTTGGGGTCTTCAAGAACACTGGAGAGTCGTCTCAGTGACTCGATGCTTAAGACGATTCCTCCCTCGCCATCCACGTACTCGAGGTCACCAGATTTCACGGCGTGGCCGATGTAAAAAGGCTGAGAGGGGTCTTTTCTCAGCAAGAAGTACTTGAGATTTTCAACAATAGCAAATGTTGTTGGATACGCAAGAAAGAACCAGCTGAATTCATCCTTGTAGCGTTCATACGTTATCTTGTAAGCTTTTCTCATCATCACCCACATGTCTTTTGTGTTGAGGGCCACAGAATCGAACACTTTGACATTTTCAGAGCTGTAGAACTCTGCCTTGTCGCAGTGCTTGCTCCAGGTCTCCTTTGCTGCAGCCCAGTGCCCAAGATCTTTTGGTTTGACAAGGATGATACAGTAAACACGGATACTTTTACTAAGCTCCATACGTTCACCCTCAGAAAGGTTTAAGACATCCTCTTTGTCAGGAGCCTGGATGTGATGGTGCTCGTGGTCCCGTGCTTTGGTCCCGTGCCCCACCTTGATGTGCCCCAGCAGTGTAACCAACATGCAGAAGGCTCCTCCAAGCACCATGCCCTTCACGAAGGAGCTGCTTTCAGAAATCATTTTTCCTAGGAAAGAGACGCACCGTGAGACCTTACAGGAATTAAGTGCACCAGAGCACTAGCCCATACGGTTCTAATTCATTCTCCAATTTACAAACCCAGCTGCAGTTCCCTGACCTCCCGCACCAGCACAGGGCCGGCGGAACGGGTGGCAATAAAGAGGTTCCCTGTCGCAGCTCTGGGTACCGCTAACGGTACCACAGACCCCGCGGGGGGAGCCTTGTGCCCCGGCCCCCCTCGGCCGCCGGGATGGCGCAGGATCCGGCCCCGCCGGTCCACACGCGGCCCGCGCGCTCCCGGGGAGGCGCTCCATGAGAGCAAGGGCCCCGCCCGCTCCTCCCACGGAGCCCCTGGAAACCAAACCCTCGCCCCCCTCGCCCCCGCGTCCCGCAATTGGTCCGGCGGCCCGCCCCCGGCCCCTGCTCACCGGAGCCAGCGCGCGCCGCCTTCCTGACGCCGCCGGGAAGCGCCGCGCGGGCCCGCATCTGGGCCCCGCTGCGCGCCCGGCGGACGGACGAGGCGCCGCTGGCGGACGAAGCGGGGGGTACCGCAGCCCTTCGCGGAGCGCCCTCTGCGGAGCGCCCTTCGCGGAGCGCAAAACCTCGACGAGAGCGCCCTCGCGGAGCGCCCTCGCGGAGCGCCCTTCGCCGGAGCCGCCACATCAGAACGGAAGCAGCCAAAAACCAATAAACGCGGAGCGCAAAACCTCGCGGGAGCGCACCTCGCGGAGCGGCCCTACGCGGAGCGCCCTCGCGGAGCGAACCATCGCGTGAGCAAGCCTCGCGGAGAGCGCCTCGACGGAAGCGCCCTCAGACGCGGAGCGCCTCGCGAGAGCGCCCTCGCGGAGCGCCCTCGCGGAGCCCTCCCCTCACTGCGCCCCGCCCGCCCCCCTTCAGGTGTCCCCGGTGTCCCCCGGGGAGAAGCGCCAACCCGGCTGTGCCGGCGCGGTTGTTAAAGAAACTTACCAGTCTGACCGTCCC